TGCCCTTTAACCCAAGGGGGAAAATTTTACGGGGAGCAAGTCATGGTCAACTGTATAAAAAGCTTACGTAAGCATGAAGACCCCCCAGTGGGATTTTTTTTTTCCTATTGCAGTGTATATATTTTTCTAGCATGTTAAAAATAGCATCTTTAGTATTTTTTTTAGGCCTGAACCAAATTGGCAGGGTTATATGTTTTGGGGAAAAGGTAGGAGTAGATTCGTTTTTAATTAATTTTTCAAAGATTTTGAGAGAGGTGTGTTTTATTGGGCCCATAGTTATCAAATCTGTTTTGGGCTCCTCCTTTGTGGATCCGGGGGGACCCTTTTCTTTTGAGTACGTGGAAGGTGGGGGGATTCAAAGGATTTTAAAGGTGTTGCAAATGATTGGGGAAGCACTTGTGAACTTTTTTTTAATTAAAGGGGGGTAAAGGGATTTAAATTCCCGCCCCTTTTTTTTTAGTGCTTGATAATAAGGGGGGGGCTTCGTATGGGGGAGTCGGGGCTAGGGAAAAGAGTGTTCGGGTGTTTTCCGGGGAGGTAGTCATTTTGGTGGGGGTTTTGACTTGGATTTTATTGGGAAGGTTTTTCCTATAGTGGAGAAGAAATCATTGGCTGTTTTCTGTTTTTGTTGGGGGGAGTTGGGGTTATCGATTTTTCTAATTTTTTTTCGCTATTTCGGATATCTTTTTTTTTCCCCCGAATTTCGATAGGGTTTTCCCCGGCTTTTTTATATCACCTCGTAAGTTGGTAATCTTTCTCTAATACAATTTTTTTTTCCCTTCTTACAGGGTGGTTAGGATTGCGGTAACTTTGTTTGGGCTCTGGTTTGTGACCCTTTTGTACTGTTTTTTATAAGGTTTTTGTATTTATGGGTTTGAAATGCTGGGGGTTAGCCCGGGACTTTCATCTCTTACTGTCATCTGTTTTGTTTTTTTTTGGGGAGGGTTGTTATAGAGGGGATTGGGTTTTTTTTAGAAAAAATTATTAATACATTTGTCAATATCTGTAGAGGTTTCTAGCTCGGTGTGCCAATCAATGTTTGCTATTGCTGTTGTGAAGTTATTAATGGCTGCCTCATTGTGAAGTCTGAAGGTGACTTTAGTAGTGTCTTGGGGTAGTTTACCAAGAGTTGTTTTGAGGAAAAAAGGAGTGGTTTGGTATTTTCTTAATTATGCCGATTTTAAAGGGGATATGGTGTTGGTCCATAATAATAATAACAGAACTAATAAAAATCCACATAATGTACACCTCTCACATTGCTATTGCATTGCACTCAACTTTTTTATAACTGCAAAGTTCAACATGGCGATGCTTCTCTGATTTTTAAGTATTGTCATTACAATCAAAACTAAATCCACAAGGTGATTTAAGTAGTTTTAATTTTTTTTTTTGGGGGGGGGCTATGTTTTTAGCTCCCTTTATAGGGAAGTGTCTGGACAGCTGTCTGGCTGGCCTGTCTCCTAGTGGGGCCCTAATGATGGGCGAGTTATAGGTCTACAAGTACCCAAAAAAATTATTGGCTGAGCATTCTAACAATTTACAGTGCCGGTACGATTATGGAGAAGCCCTAAACCCACAGCGATTATAAAGCATCTGTGGGGTTGGGGGAAGATGGAAGGTATTCAGGGAATTGGAGCACAGATACAACTCCCTAGATTAAGAGTCCCTCACCAGCATCAAGGAACCTCATTTGAGAAGCCTGCAATTGCCCAGAATGCCAATAAAAGCTCTGGGTCTCTAAGATGCATCTCAACCCGAGGTACCTGGGTTATGAAAATAGGAAGAAGAGCTAAATCTATAGAGGTCATACGGTGCATAAGGTATAATGGGTAATATGGTTCAATCCAAGGTGAAGACAACTTCAATTCCTCAGAACAAAAACCTCATTAGCATTATTATAATCACAACCAAGCACTAAACCCATAAGGGTCCCAAGGTGCTACCTCACTAGCATAAAAGAACCTTCCTTGATGGGCCCAAAATGTGAAACATTGTTCATCACTGTGAGAGGTATTTATTTCATAAGGGGAGAACTAAACCCATAAGAATCACTGAGAACCCTGGGAAACTGGAGGTAATCAAATTTTTTCTAGGGGAAAAAGGAGGGTACCTTAAGTTCTTTAGATAAAGAGCTCTTCACTAGCATCAAGGCATCTTCCTTGATGGACGTATGAGAGGTATAGGTCAGTGTGGGCAGTCTCCCACTTGGTTTGGATGGGATGAAAGAGGGAAGGCCTTAGGACACTTGAAAAAAGTGATGCTCAGTTGCTAGAAGACAAACAGAATATCTCTACTTTTTTCACCCACAATAATAAGGAAGAGGTGCCAAAACATTAACAGCAGGAAGGATGGGATCACCAGGCTGGGATGCTGATTTTATTGTACGATTGCATTTCAGTTTAGAAGAATACCCTGCATTTCCCCAGTTGTAGGAGGGTTTAAGGAGATGCATCATTAAGAGTTGAACTGTCTCTGGAGGCAGGGAAAGAGGGTGCAAGTGAGGTATGGGTGAAAAAAAGGGTAGGCACATTGGCGGTTTCAAACGGAGTCTGTGTCGGCACAACCAGCTTCTCACATCTGGGGTGGAAAGGGAAGTGCGGGGTGACATATTTATGCAATATATACAGCATTAGTTAAGACTTGGGTACATATTGTATTAGGTCAGAGCATGGAGACTGTGTAGGAATGATATTGTTGTAGCAAGGTCTTGGGTTGACAGCTTGTAGATTATTACAATCAAAAAGAAGCGCTAAACCACAACGGCTATATAGCACGACAACTTATAGAGGTCTTTGGAGATTGGGGTGGATAGCTTTAAGGACTTGGACATGCCCTTCCCTCCCTTGGATCAAACCTGAATTCCTTCCATGTCCTAAGTGCTATGTAACCCCTACAGGTTTAGCTCTTTCCCTCAAAAAAAAAAAAAAATAGCATAAAGGGAAGGACGTCTAACAAATGAGATCAAGAGACTCTTTCCTGTGACAAGGAACCCCTTTAAATGGGAGGGCTTCTTTAAGACCATTTATATTCAACATAGACCCATAATGGCATTCATGAAACAAATGTTCACTCTGATGTGTACTTGTCCCACCAATGGGCCACATTTCTAGGGGTGGGTCCAACTAACAAGAGTAAATACACAAGTCCTTGAGTTTCCACACGTGGGAATTATTATAATCAAAACCAAGCACTAAACCCACAAGGGTCATACAGCAACATGGGAAGAATGAGATTTCTCAGTCAAAACCCCAAATTTATTGAAATCCTTTAACCACGTCAGCCATTTCCTAAGGTAGGGTGTACCCAAAAAAGTGAATGCAATCCAAATACATTCCAGAGGAATCACTAAACCCCCAAGTCACAGAGCAGCTGGGAAACAGGAGTTTATCAGGTTAGACCCATGGGAAGAGAAAGTACTTCCAATTATTATTATTATAATCAAAAAGAAGCGCTAAGCCACAAGGGCTATACAGCTCCAATTCTTTAAAATATCCTTTAGCATCTTTAAGGCACTCCTTCAGAGGGTCATATACACAACAAAGTTGTAATAACACAATTGCAAACAAATCACATGAGCAGTGATAGTACCTATGGCAGGAAGTCCTAAAACTCCTAGTCCAGTGCACTAACCACTGGCCAAGTTTAGAGCCACTCCTTCATTCATCCATGCAGCTGTGTCATGCCTTTGAAGGGACTTGAGCAAGAGTATGTCACAGCCACGCTGGCATGAGATTCATCTGTAAAAGCCTGCATTTGTGGTCAAAGTAGTGACCTATGCTCACTTCCCTATAGTACATTATAATAATGAAGGGGGAGCACTAAACCTGTAGGATTATGCAGTGCACATGGAGGGGATGTGGAAGGTATTCAAGCTTAATTCAGGGAACTGGTCCCTATTGTATACAGAAATATACCTAGTTGGATAAATCTTATTACAGCCAGCTGGCCCAGTGGCTAGCACACTGGCCTGGGAGTTTTAGGTCTGCCCTGCCATGGGTTTGAGTCCCACCCATTCTGTGATTTGGTCATATACATCATGACAAAAATATCAGTCTTCAATCATCCATAATAGTTTTACTATTTTTTTTTAAACACAGCTGTCTCCCACCAAGACAGGGTGACCCAAAGAAACACTTTCATCCCTCATTCACACACAATCATTGCCTTTGCAGAGGCGCCCAGATACGACATTTTAAATGTCACTCCAAACAGCCAATAACCCAAACCTCTCCTTTAAAGTGCAGGCATTGTACTTCCCACAAAATGCACCACACAAAAATACACCAAACCTGTGGGTCACAAGAAAAACGAGTGTGGAGGGCATTCATGTGCTAAAAAGAAGTCATTATGTCACAAGTACAGTAACAGTAGTCTAGCAACATTATTATTATAATCGTGGGGGGAGTGCTAAACCCGTAGGATTATACAGCGCATTTGGGGGGGATATGGAAGGTATTCAGGCTCAATTCAGGGAACCAGAACACAGATCCAATTCCCTAGATCAAGAGCCCCTCACCAGCATCAAGGAACTTCCCTTGAGGTGTCCACAACAATAGAAACATCCTACATGAATAAATATACAGATACATGTATATCATTGGAACAATATCTACCATGAAATACATTCGTCAAATACAACCATCTCAGAAACCACAAATATCAGTTGTCCAACACAGTCGGTAGCCTTAAAAACATAATTTCACAAAGTTACAAAAATAGGTCTTTTATTTTTTTTGAAGACAATTTGCAACTTGAAAAAACAAAAAAAAAGGCTTAACAGTACAAACTAGTTAGTGAAACATTTTAGCAAACAAAATATAGCATTAAAGATGGGACACCAAGTACAGCTGCTGTCCTGTACCACCACAATACTACATTCAAACTAACAAAATTTCATCCAATTTATTATTTACTCCCTAGTCTCTTAATGCTTCAATTTTATTCCAAGGTTTTGAGATGATTATGCTAATGGGATGAACTAGAATAAGAAGCAACACAAGTATAAATGCACAATCTTTATTAAAATAAATTTGGAGTTATATAAAATAGTTGAGCAATACAGTATATAACTTTCTTTCTTTCTTTCAACACACCGGCCGTATCCCACCGAGGCGGGGTGGCCCAAAAGGAGAAATGAAAGTAAAAGGAGAAACGAAAGTTTCTCCTTTTACATTTAGTAATATATATGAGAAGGGGTTACTAGCCCCTTGCTCCCAGCATTTTAGTTGCCTCTTACAACACACATGGCTTACGGAGGAAGAATACAGTATATAACTGTCTTAATATATTTAAAAAACAAAAAGAGTAAATCCAAATAGATTACTCAGCACTTGATATATAGATGCAAGGGAATGTAGTACATTAAAACTACTTGGCCACAAGCAGCTTTACTCATATTAACAAAATACAACAAAAAAAATTTCTTAGTGATTTAGCATGGCATATAAAGCATATGGCATATAATGTACATAAAAATGCCCCTATTATTTTATTACATTGGTTAAAACAATTTATCCCAGTTTTTATCCAGTTGATACACAGACAACTATATATCGGTTTGAGCTAAAACTGATGAATGACTAACCCGAGAAAAAACTTTTGAAGGCAACATTATATAAAGTTCTGAGTGGAAAGTTCAACATTCTCCAAACTTTAATTAAACACCTTATTTTAATTTATAAACCAATTAACTTATAAATTAATCTATGTATAACTTGACAATGTATAACTCAAAAATTCCACGGGAAAGTGGAAAAAGAATCCTTCCTCCATTAGAGGTGACCAAAATGCCACGAGCAAGGGGCTAGTAACCCCTTCTCCTTTATAAATTACTAAATGTAAAAAGATGAAAAACTTTTTCGGGTCACTTTGCTTCGGTTGAAGATAACTTTTTTTTTTTTTTTAACACGCCAGCCGTTTCCCATTGAGACAGAGTGACCTATAAAAAAAAACGAAACACCTCTTATGATACGCATGGCTTACAGGAAGATTTCTTTTCCACTTCCCCGTGGAGATAAAAATATACTGATTTAAGGGAAAGAACATTATTTATTTTCCAAGACCATACTAAGATGTTTTGAAGATACAGCCAAAAATATTTTATTTGTATCCTCAGCTTGGACATTTGTAACACCTTCATATGCAAGAGCATTTTTGATGAACTGAACAATGAAAGTAACATCCTTCCCCAATGTGGCCCTTGCCACTTTATCAATATCAACACCATGATATGGTCTTTCTGAAGTTTGTGAACTTATAGCAACATCCTTCAAAATATCAGCACCATGATATGGTTTCTCTGCAGTTTGTGAACTTGCAGTAGCATGCTCTAACAACTCCGCAGCATGAATGCTACCTTTCAGTAACTTTTCTCGAAATCTGCCTGTAGAAGCCTCACCAAGAGATTTCAACTTTTCTGAAGCCATCTTGATAAGTAAAGCATTATCATCATCAGTAAGCACCTCACACATTTTTTGTGAATCTCTCTCAAGGTTTTTGACTTTATTAATTATGAGCCTAAAGGCAGGACCAAGGAGACCTAATGGCTCACAGAGCTCTAAGAGCGAATCTAAATTATTATACAAAGAAAATTGTTTGGTTAATATTTTCACACTTTGTCCAGTTCCTAAATCACATTTATGCTCAGAAATACTAACCACAGGCAATATTTGATGTAGCATTGACAAACTTTCAGTAGTTTGCAAAGGTGTGCCAACAGAACTCTGTCTAAATCTACTAAATTCAGCTTGTGAGTTAATAAATTTGGTTAATGACATTTTCTTTTGACCTGTTAACGTTTGTACAGAGAACTCTGAAGATTTATAAGATGAAGTGCTAGGGCCAGCCTCATAACTATATGCATCCTCCTTACAGTTCTTGATTTTACGTAACCCAGTACATTCATTCTTCTTGGCTGCTACTGCATTAAACTGTTCTAATAACTTTACTCTCTTCTTGTTCAATTTTTCTTCAAGCTCCTTAGTCACAGTCTGCTTCCAAAACTCCTTCCACAATTCTTGACAATGCTGCAAGTTTTCATTCCCTGCGTACATCTTTTGATATTTCTCTTTGAAGATTGTATATTTAGCTGCATACTGAGGGTGAGCCTCTGGCACTGATGTGAAAGTTTGGCAGTGTATTTGGTGATCTTTCTTCAAGTCCTCCTCTGCACTCAAAAAGAGTCTCTTCATTTCAGGATCAAAGCTGGAAAAATACATATATCTATATATAAATCCTAAAAGCATTCACACCCAAACTTATTACAGTGGACCCCCCTTAACAGATATGAACCAGAAGAATGAATCATTAAATGAATTGCATTTTCATATAAATGCCCACATTGGATCTAGAGATGGAAACTGAAAATAATATTCCGTATTTAATTAACATTAATTTTTTCATTGATGAAATTTTAAAGTATGTACTCACCAGAGATGGGTCTATTATTTAGCAGAGGCATAATGATTTTATACAAATTATTTTAAGAGTACACAACAAAAAATCTTAGAAAAATATCAATAGCATAGGTCAGGAAACATTACACATTTTTGTTATTGTTGGGATGAGGGGTTGACAGCCCCTAGGCAATGATCTGTTGAAATGAAAAGTTACGAAGACCTACGGACAAGTGTAACTTTTCAATCCAACAGAAATGGAGTCCAGTCCCTGGACCCATTATGTACCTCTGTAATCTTTTGACTACTGCCCACAAAATGGGTATGGGGTGCATAATAAAGATACTGAACTAACAACTAACAGAACTGACTAAGGACCTCAACCAACACCTTATACAGAGGGACTTTGATGACCTTCTTGCAGTATGTGACATGAGAAACTTTGTTGATTTCCCTACTCACATCTCTGGCTCCTCCCTTGATCCAGTAGTGAGTGATCTGGCAGAAGGTATAGTCCCTTGTCAACCCCTCGGCTACATTGGATCATCTGACCACAAGGCTGTTTTTACGACACTTAAGATCCCAACAGAACGAGGTGAGGAGTCACACGCACAACCTGGCTATGGGAAAGAGGTAATTGGCCAGCCCTTTGCTCTGAGCTCGCCACCACTGATTGGAATGCTCTTCTCCAAGGGGATATTGACAACCAAGTGAAAACCTTCACTGGACACATCCTTAATCTACAACAAGAACACATTCCTCACCAGCAATATGTGACAAAGCCTACAGATCAGCCTTGGTTTGGCTTTCATTGTAGAGAGGTTGCTACTGCTAAGTACAAAGCATGGCAAAGGTATAAGAGACATCCTACCACCTATAACAGGAACTTGCACAGGCAAGCCTGTAGGCATATGGGTGATGTTCAAAAGTGGGCCATTGCTAAATGGGAGGTGGACACAAAAAGAAAGCTAGCATCAGGTAGGGTAGGCTCCAAAACCTGGTGGTCCCTGGTCAAGGACAGACAAGGTTATCTGCCTGATGAACTTATTCCACCTCTAAATCGACAGGATGGGACCACCTCTACTAGTAATCAAGAGAAGGTGGACCTCTTTGCCGAACACTTTGCTACGAAAATGCAAGTTCCTGATCCAGCAAGGGACCCTCCTTGGCTAGCTGCAAGAACTGTGTCAAAACTGTCAGTGTTGACAATAAGGCAGGAGGAGGTGCATTTCCTTCTTAAATCGCTTGACCAAGAAAAGGCTGTGGGCCCAGACAAGCTGAGCCCAAGATTGCTGAGATGATGTGCAGACCAGCTAGCAACACCTCTAACTCACATCTTTCAGCACTGCCTAGTAGTGTAAATGGCCCTCTCTGTGGAAAGAGGCAAATGTAGTCCGTTCACAAAAAGAAGAGCAGAGCAGAAATCAGCAACTACAGACCAGTGTCACTCCTGTCAATCACTGCTAAGATCCTTGAGACAATAATCTCAAGACAAATGACAGTTTTTTGACTACCACTCACTACTTTGTGATCGTCAATATGGCTTCAGGAAAGGTTACTCTGCTGCTGATCTGTTGTTAAACTTCTCCACTAAGTGGCACCAGTCACTGGACGAATCCAAAGTCAGCTGTGTGGTAGCACTGGACATTGCTGATGCTTTCGATTGGGTGTGGCACCAAGGCCTCTTAGCAAAACTTCAAGCACTGGGAATTGCAGGCTCTACGCTATGTCTCCTCAGTGATTACCTTCACGGTAGATCTCTAAGGGTAGTTCTCAATGGAACGGAATCAGCAAGACATCCTATTGGGGCAAGTGTTCCACAAGGAAGCGTGCTGGGACCATTGTTATGGAATGTCTACTTCAATGACCTTCTTCATTTCATCCCAGAATCCCATACATATGCAGATTACTGTACACTGACATTCACCTATCCAAGAGAAGAAATGCCAGCTGCTCTAAGCTACATCAATCACCAGCTAAGAGCTATATCAGCTTGGGGAAATAGATGGCATGTAACATTTGCACCTGAGAAAATGCAAATGATGATGGTCTCTAGGCACCATGATGGTAATGCTGGTGCAGTAGTAAAGATGAATGGGAGGGTGTTGGCACCTGGAGAAGAAGTTGATATCCTTGGGGTGAAATTTGACTCCAAACTAACCATGAAGAACCATGTTGTAAATCTTGCAAACAAGGCAACCAGGAAGCTTAAAGCACTTCGCCGTATCTCGCATCTCCTTGACAGTAGGGGTTGCAAGATTCTGTACGAGGCACAAGTACGCTCACACCTTGAGCATGCTCCACTTTCTTGGTTTGCCTGCCCCCCTCTCATCTGCGACTGCTTGACAGAGTAGAGAACAGAGCAAGACGTCTCATCTCTCACCTGGACCCATCCTGGATAGATCTGTCATTTCAGCAGAGCCTTCAACATAGGAGGGATGTGGGTGGCCTTACTGTTATGTACAAGGCCAATATTGTCAAAGTACCACACTTGGATCCACTTCGAGGACAGCGTGAAACAAGCTTTTATGCCACAAGACGGGCAGAAAGCAGCAACTTCACTCTAGCTGTACCCTTCTGTAGACAGCCTGTACTGTCTGCACAGACAGCCTATGCTGTCTGCCAGCTTCACTCCATCTGAGATCATATATACCCAGGATGACACGAGTAAGGAACACATTCGTACAGCATAATGATGTCAACGAGATAGTCAGTTGATCAAATGAAAATGCTGGCCCACAGATGGCTCCAACTACATCCTGTTCCCTACTTGTATGTCTCATAACAATAAAAATGCTTTCAAATGAGCTGATGTAGGTAACAGCTCTTAGCTTGCCAATAAAGTTAGAAATCCTTAACCTGTAAATAGCTTGTCAATAAAGCTAGGGATCCTTAACCTAACCTTGTCAAACCCTGTGTAAAAAAAAAAAAAACCACTACACATGTTTTTGTTATTTTTAGATTGACATTTCCCAACTTTCTCCTAGTATTTTGACATCTTTTTTGTTTGTGTCTTGCACTCATACAATGGGGTATAATGCCACTACTCTACTGAGCAGTGGACCCATCTCTGGTGAAGAGAGGAAGAAATGGTGGAATGTATAGTATGCAATATGATATTGCTTCTCCATGAGAAACAAAACTTGTCACTCCCATTAGTAAACAATGTATGTACAATAAACTTGCATTTTGCGATATTACATATTGCCTTTTTGCCATATCATGACTACAATTTTGTTCCCATGATTCTCTTTGTGCAAAATTGACTGCTTGACTCATGAAATTACAATGACATGATTGTAAACAACTTGCTGTACAAACAGTTTGAACACATGGTCAGCCAGTCCTAAACCTAGAAGACCATTTCTAATACAGTAGAACCTCGGTTTTCGTATGCCCTAGTTGGAGAAAATTCTCTATATTTTTATGTCTGGAACGGATTAATTGGTTCCGTTCCAGGCACCCAAAAATATTAACAAAAAAATACATTTTATAGAGATTTTTCTCCAACTACGGCATACGAGAACTGAGGTTCCACTATACAGTGAACAGCACACTGGCCTGCTAGTTTTTGGACTGGCTTGCCATGGGTTTCAACTTTCCATTTGGCAAGTTAATCGACTCTGTGTTCATGACGTAAAGCTTGGGGGAAAAATATGTTTTGCATGACACTGGGCTTTAATGCAAGGTGGGAGATTTTCCTTCTGTGCCATATACAGTGGTCCCTCGTTTATCGTCTTTAATCCATTCCTGGAAGTGCGACGATTATCGAAAAAGACGATTTTCGAATCAATTTTCCCCATTAGAAACAAGTTTTAAGGAAGGTATGGCATATAATAAGCAATTCTGAATTTAAAACATGAAGAGCTGCAAAGCTGCAAGTTCCTTCATTAAGCAATCTTGGAGTACTTAAAAATATATGAATAAAATAAATCAAAGTAAACCTTTGTTAATAAGACAATGCAGTAGATTTTCATGCAAGATAAAGACAAATACACTTAACAGACAATGCTTACATCAATAAATTAATTTATATATAGAATATTGCTTTAAATAACATACCAGCTAATCTTTGACTTGGTTAAATCATCAACATCTGACATAGAAGACTCGAATGACTCTGATGATGAGGATGATGATGATGATGAGTAGCATCTTCTTCGTTTACAGGATTCATCCCGAAATGTTGACGACAGAGATGAGCTGCTGCTCTGTTGCTGGGGCTTCTCAGTTGAGGTTAACTGGTGACGATCTTTCACGTTGGTCTTTCTTGAGGACTGTTCAGTTGGCAACAAACTTCTGTTTTTAACAGAGTTGTCTGACTTGTGAGATCTCTTCCTCCTTGTATACTTTACCCCCTGTGAATGTTGCTTCTTTGCATCATGTATATGAGCAGCTTTCTCTGTTTCTGTGGCAAATCATGAATATATCAGCATATATCACTAAAAATTAACAGTGATAAAATAATACTTCACAAACTTATACATCCTTACTAAAACTAAGTAATATTAATAAAGACTTAGAATTATTTTCTTCTCTATCATATACAGGAGGTCTCCAAGTTATATCCACACTTCCAAGGTCAAAAATAGCATTTAAAAAAATTTATGAACAATGTCATTCCATTACTGAGTGGGAGAGACATGATGACTTGTGTCCTTGACCACTACATATTAGCTTTACATTTATTTTACAAGATCAACAGAAACCACCATAACTTGATCAAATGCAGAACAAACAGATTTTGCAATACAAAAACATGTAAAACAAATATACTGGTTTGTAATTTAGCATCTCATATCTACAGCCCTTCTTGAATAACAGAATTAACATTCAACATCTTCCTGTCTTGCAGGAAAGAGGGTAGATATATACAATCTGAAAAACACTCAGCCAAAATTTCATTTATCACCAAGTTAAAATGCAAGCCTCCATTCACAATCAGAGCAAAATTACATACACATTCCTTACAATATAAAAATTACGAGTTCAACTGAAATGTTCTCAGAGCAGAGAGATTGATGAGATGATTTTGTCATTTAGATAGGACATTGCAGGTGTGAAGCAGGTTTTGAAACGTAAGGAAGCTTGAATATCCAGGATGCATGTAAAGGTATATTAGATTAGCAAATGGAAATAAGTGTTTTTTGGATGTAATGTGCTGTTTGTGTGTGAAAAAGTCACCTTCTATGAAGGAATTCAGGGAAACCAGTCAGCCCAAGTTCTGGAAGTGGGAAATGAAGTGCCTGAACTCTGGGATAGGTAGCAATGTGATGAAAATGGTTTTGAAAACTGACAAGTTGAAGAATGAGACTTGTGCAACATTTGGGAATCTTTATTGTGGAAACGTTTTGCCAGCCAATGGCTTCTTCAGTCCAATACCAAGAATAAGGAGTATGAGGTAATCAGTCCCTCAGAATGGAGTTGATTTGTTCGGCCTACTACAGGCAGATATACTTTTGATATACCTTTGAAGAATTTTGAGAGTTTCACTATTCTCGGAGCCCAGCCATGAGCCAGACTCGTCTGGTGCTTGCCTGGTCAACCAGGATGTTGTTACTGGAGGCCTGCTGCCCCACATATCCATCACAGCCTGGTTGATCTGGCACCTGGTGAAGATACTTGTCCAGAAGGCTTCTATATTTGTTCCAGCTGTGTTTCTGATATCTTCTGGTAAGATGTTGAAGTCTGGGACCCTGAATGTTGATAGTGTTCCCTTATTGTCCCTACCACACCCCTGCTACTCACTGGGTTTATTTTACACTTCCTCCCATCTCTCTCACTCCAGTATGTTATGGCAGTGTGCAGAATTGGTACCAGGCCCTCAAATACTTTCCAGGTATATATTATCATGTATCTCTCTCTCCTCTGCTCCAATGAGTACATGTTCAAGACTAGAAGGCATTCCCAGTAATTTAGGTGCCTTACTGGCTCAATGTGAGCCATGAACAATCTCTGTATTTAAACCATACCCCCGGCCGGGATTGAACCCGCGGTCATAGAGTCTCAAAACTCCAGCCCGTCGCGCTAGCCACTAGACCAGCTAGCCACAATCGTGTCATTACGATTTCTTAAGTCATAATCTCTGTATTTGTTCCAACTCTGATTATCTCCTGCCTTGAATGGTGCTGTCAGCATTGAGCAATATTTTAAATGAGGAAACACTAGCGATTTGAAGAGTGTCACCATCAGCATCACTTCCCTTGTTTTGAAAGTTCTCAATACCCACCCCATCATCTTCCTGGCTGTCGTGATCTTTGTCTTATGGTCTTTAAAAAAAAAGGTCAGCTGACAAATTATTCCCAGGTCTTTTATGTGCTCCTTTCATTCTATTTGGTGACCCTCTTGAGTTTTGTATATTGTGTTCTTTTTTGAGTTCTTCATTCTTTCCATACCTAAGCAGTTGGAACTTATCATCATTGAATGTCATGCTGTTCTTCACTGCTCACTGGAAAACCCTATTCATGTCTTCCTGTAATTTTTCAGTGACCTCTACAGTAGTGACTTTCATGCTTATTGTAGTATTATCTGCAAATGATGATACAAAAGTGTGACAGGTGTTTTATCTATGTCTGCTATGAGGATGAAACAGCAGAGGTGCCAGGACAGTGCCATGGGGCACTGAGCATTTCACCTCACTGATGCTGCTGGATCTTGATCATCTCACACACATCTTTTACCATTCTGCTCTGTACTGGACTGAAGAAGTCACTGGCTGGTGAATCGTTTCCTCAATATAGATTTTCAAATGTTGCTAAAGTGTCTCATTCTTTAACTCATAGATGCCAATGTTGAATTTTGATAAATCACTGGAAATGTGATATCCATGCTCTAGAAAAACAGCTAGGAAATTAGCAATGGTGATTTTTTTTTATCTTTGGATAACCTGGCAAATTTATTCTATAAAAAAGACATTTACTAAAAAAGAGAAGAAGAAAAACTTTATAAAACTGGGATGCTTGAATGTGCGTGGATGTAGTGCGGATGACAAGAAACAGATGATTGCTGATGTTATGAATGAAAAGAAGTTGGATGTCCTGGCCCTAAGCAAAACAATGCTGAAGGGGGTAGGGGAGTTTCAGTAAGGGGAAATAAATGGGATTAAATCTGGAGTATCTGAGAGAGTTAGAGCAAAGGAAGGGGTAGCAGTAATGTTGAATGATCAGTTATCGAAGGAGAAAAGAGAATATGAATGTGTAAATTCAAGAATTATGTGGATTAAAGTAAAGGTTGGATGCGAGAAGTGGGTCATAATAAGCATGTATGCACCTGGAGAAGAGAGGAATGCAGAGGAGAGAGAGAGATTTTGGGAGATGTTAAGTGAATGTATAGGAGCCTTTGAACCAAGTGAGAGAGTAATTGTGGTAGGGGACCTGAATGCTAAAGTAGGAGAAACTTTTAGAGAGGGTGTGGTAGGTAAGTTTGGGGTGCCAGGTGTAAATGATAATGGGAGCCCTTTGATTGAACTTTGTATAGAAAGGGGTTTAGTTATAGGTAATACATATTTTAAGAAAAAGAGGATAAATAAGTATACAAGATATGATGTAGGGCGAAATGACAGTAGTTTGTTGGATTATGTATTGGTAGATAAAAGACTGTTGAGTAGACTTCAGGATGTACATGTTTATAGAGGGGCCACAGATATATCAGATCACTTTCTAGTTGTAGCTACACTGAGAGTAAAAGGTAGATGGGATACAAGGAGAATAGAAGCATCAGGGAAGAGAGGTGAAGGTTTATAAACTAAAAGAGGAGGCAGTTAGGGTAAGATATAAACAGCTATTGGAGGATAGATGGGCTAATGAGAGCATAGGCAATGGGGTCGAAGAGGTATGGGGTAGGTTTAAAAATGTAGTGTGTGTTCAGCAGAAGTTTGTGGTTACAGGAAAGTGGGTGCGGGAGGGAAGAGGAGCGATTGGTGGAATGATGATGTAAAGAGAGTAGTAAAGGAGAAAAAGTTAGCATATGAGAAGTTTTTACAAAGTAGAAGTGATGCAAGGTGGGAAGAGTATATGGAGAAAAAGAGAGAGGTTAAGAGAGTGGTGAAGCAATGTAAAAAAAGAGCAAATGAGAGAGTGGGTGAGATGTTATTAACAAATTTTGTTGAAAATAAGAAAAAGTTTTGGAGTGAGATAAACAAGTTAAGGAAGCCTAGAGAACAAATGGATTTCTCAGTTAAAAATAGGAGAGGAGAGTTATTAAATGGAGAGTTAAAGGTTTTGGGAAGATGGATGGAATATTTTGAGGAATTGTTAAATGTTGATGAAGATAGGGAAGCTGTGATTTCGTGTATAGGGCAAGGAGGAACAACATCTTGTAGGAGTGAGGAAGAGCCAGTTGTGAGTGTGGGGGAAGTTCGTGAGGCAGTAGGTAAAATGAAAGGGGGTAAGGCAGCTGGGATTGATGGAATAAAGAAAGAAATGTTAAAAGCAGGTGGGGATATAGTTTTGGAGTGGTTGGTGCAATTATTTAATAAATGTATGGAAGAGGGTAAGGTACCTAGGGATTGGCAGAGAGCATGCATAGTTCCTTTGTATAAAGGCAAAGGGGATAAAAGAGAGTGCAAAAATTATAGGGGAAAAAGTCTGCTGAGTATACCTGGTAAAGTGTATGGTAGAGTTATTATTGAAAGAATTAAGAGTAAGACGGAGAATAGGATAGCAGATGAACAAGGAGGCTTTAGGAAAGGTAGGGGGTGTGTGGACCAGGTGTTTACAGTGAAACATATAAGTGAACAGTATTTAGATAAGGCTAAAGAGGTCTTTGTGGCATTTATGGATTTGGAAAAGGCGTATGACAGGGTGGATAGGGGGGCAATGTGGCAGATGTTGCAGGTGTATGGTGTAGGAGGTAGGTTACTGAAAGCAGTGAAGAGTTTTTACGAGGATAGTGAGGCTCAAGTTAGAGTATGTAGGAAAGAGGGAAATTATTTCCCAGTAAAAGTAGGCCTTAGACAAGGATGTGTGATGTCACCGTGGTTGTTTAATATATTTATAGATGGGGTTGTAAGAGAAGTAAATGCGAGGGTCTTGGCAAGAGGTGTGGAGTTAAAAGATAAAAAATCACACACAAAGTGGGAGTTGTCACAGCTGCTCTTTGCTGATGACACTGTGCTCTTGGGAGATTCTGAAGAGAAGTTGCAGAGATTGGTGGATGAATTTGGTAGGGTGTGCAAAAGAAGAAAATTAAAGGTGAATACAGGAAAGAGTAAGGTTATGAGGATAACAAAAAGATTAGGTGATGAAAGATTGGATATCAGATTGGAGGGAGAGAGTATGGAGGAGGTGAATGTATTCAGATATTTGGGAGTGGACGTGTCATCGGATGGGTCTATGAAAGATGAGGTGAATCATAGAATTGATGAGGGGAAAAGGGGAGTGGTGCACTTAGGAGTCTGTGGAGACAAAGAACTTTGTCCTTGGAGGCAAAGAGGGAATGTATGAGAGTATAGTTTTACCAACGCTCTTGTATGGGTGTGAAGCATGGGTGATGAATGTTGCAGCGAGGAGAAGGCTGGAGGCAGTGGAGATGTCATGTCTGAAGGCAATGTGTGGTGTGAATATAATGCAGAGAATTCGTAGTTTGGAAGTTAGGAGGAGGTGCGGGATTACCAAAACTGTTGTCCAGAGGGCTGAGGAAGGGTTGTTAAGGTGGTTCGGACATGTAGAGAGAATGGAGCGAAACAGAATGACTTCAAGAGTGTATCAGTCTGTAGTGGAAGGAAGGCGGGGTAGGGGTCGACCTAGGAAAAGTTGGAGGGAGGGGGTAAAGGAGGTTTTGTGTGCGAGGGGCTTGGACTTCCAGCAGGCATGCGTGAGCGTGTTTGATAGGAGTGAATGGAGACAAATGGTTTTTAATACTTGACGTGCTGTTGGAGTGTGAGCAAAGTAACATTTATGAAGGGGTTCAGGGAAACCGGCAGGCCGGACTTAGAGTCCTGGAGATGGGAAGTACAGTGCCTGCACTCTGAAGGAGGGGTGTTAATGTTGCAGTTTAAAAACTGTAGTGTAAAGCACCCTTCTGGCAAGACAGTGATGGAGTGAATGATGGTGAAAGTTTTTCTTTTTCGGGCCACCCTGCCTTGGTGGGAATCGGCCAGTATGATAATAAAATAAAATAAAAATAAAAAAATATTGCACGGCATTAATAGAATTCTATACAAAACTTATACATCATAACTCCCATCCACCCAAAAAATAACATGGTTCTACCTCTCATTTTCCTGAAGTATAGCTGCATTGCCTGTCCTTGCCTTGAAACCTTGACAAATTGAGTCTTCAGCAGAGCTGCTACAACCCCAACTTCATACTCATCAGACTTCTCTGTTACAACCACTTTATTCAAATCTGAAAAATTAATGGTCAACTTAAATTATACATCTGAAACCATACTGTTCTTGCAAGTGTTCATGAAGTAGCAGCAAGTGAGGATTTTATTAGGATCAAACTGGAGGTTAATATCCCAGGATAACCCAAGCCACCATGTGTTCATGCCTTGGTTGATAGTCCTCAGTTCACACACCGAGGATCCAGGGATCGATCCCAGCATGGGTGAAATGTTGGGCATGTATCCTTGCATCTGCTACCCCTGTTCACCTAGCAATAAGTAGGGACCTAAGTTGCCCAAAATGCTCTGCATAACCAGGGGCTTTCTATATACTATGCCAATAATGTCAGCTAGGTCTGTAATAATTGTATCATGTACTTGTTAAAATAATAATAATTATTATTATTAGTGTCTGGCTTATTTCCAAAATGTGACTCACAGCAGTTAGAACAAAAGGACATAAGAAAGAAGGAACACTGCAACAGACCTAGTGGCCCATGCAAGGCAGGTCCAAGTTTCCTACCGGCTTAAGCCAATGCCCCAACCTAGTCAAGTCAGGTCACATTCACTTAAGGAAGGAGCATGAGTTGACTAATATCAAAGTATAGATGCATCTATTTAAAGTCCAGGAGATTGAGACCAACACATTGAAAACCCCTTAAGGAAGGTGCCTTGATCCCAGTGAGGGGGGGGGGTTTCATGATTCAAGGAGTTGGACCTACATATATGTGTTCCCTTTTTTGGATTAAACCTTCTTGCTGCCCCTTTCCCCCATGAACCCTAAGGGTTTAATGCTCCCTTCATGAATGCAACAAAAAATCATTCTGAAGAGGATCAGGAGTTTTAGTTCAATACTCTCAAGAAGTCTAGCACCTGTAGCTTAACATCTTCAAAAGGCTGAGGAGCTACAGATCAACACACTCAAGTTGGCCAGGAACTGTAACAATCTGAACTGTCCTCTAACATACATCAGAGCTGAAGGTTGGAAGCTGACCATTGGAGCCATTCAGCAATTTTTTTTTTTTATCAACAAGTTGGCCGTCTCCCACCGAGGCAGGGTGACCCAAAATGAAAGAAAATCCCCAAAAAGAAAATACTTTTCATCATCATTCAACACTTTCACCTAACTCATACATTATCACTGTCTTTGCAGAGGTGCTCAGATACGACAGTTTAGAAGTCCCTCCAAACAGTCAATATCCCAGACCCCTCTAAAGTGCAGGCATTGTACTTCCAATTTCCAGGACTAAAGTCCGGCTAAATCTGTAATAACCAATTTCACTGAATCCCTTCAATAAATATTACCCTGTTCACACTCCAACAGTTCGTCAAGTCCCAAAAACCTTTCGTCTCCATTTACTCCTAACACACACAAGCTTGCTGGAAGTCCAAGCCCCTCACCCACAAAACCGCCTTTAACCCCTACCTCCAACTTTTTCGAGGACAATCCCTACCCCGCATTCCTTCCCTTACAGATTTATACGCTCTCCAAGTCATTCTACTTTGATCCATTCTCTCTAAATGACCAAACCACCTCAACAACCCCACTTCAGCCCTGTGACTAATGCTTTTAGTAACTCCACGCTGCCTCCTAATTTCCACACTCCGAATTCTCTGCATAATATTTACACCACACATTGCCCTTACACAGGACATCACTGCCTCCAGCCAGCTCCTCGCTGCAACATTTACAACCCAAGCTTCACACCCTTATAAGAGGGTTGGTACCACTATACTTTCATACATTCCCTTCTTTGCCTCCACAGATAACGTTTTTTGTCTCCACAGGTGCCTCAACGCACCACTCACCTTTTTCCTTCATCAATTTTATGGTTAACCTCATCATTCATAAACCCATCCACTGACAAGTCAACTCCCAAATATCTGAAAACATTCACTTCTTCCATACTCCCTCTCTCCAATGTGACATCCAATTTTTCTTTATCTAAATCATTTGATACCCTCATCACCTTACTCTTATCTATTTTTGTTGCAACCCCTGAATGGGTTACAATGTATATGATGTATTATATATATAATGTATATTACCTTTTGAACGAGTCTGAACAATCTCTAGTCCAGATGAACTGAACTTTGCTACTAGTGAACAAAGGGAGAGGTGTAGGTGGAGGTATGTGTGTTGGCTTGCCTGTCACTTGACACGTGGCAACGTCGCACATGATCAGCTACTGTTTCCTTCATCTTTGGCCAAGTAAAATGTTTTGCCAGTTTACCGAGTGTCTTCTTGACACCCAAATGTCCTCCTATGGGAATATTGTGAGCAAAATCAATGGCTTGCTCACGAAATGTAACTGGTAACACTACGAGATGCTTGACTGTGGTGGAAACACTATCAGCTGACAACTTACATGTATTTTTCTCCATCAGTACACCGTTACTATAATAGTAACAATTATCGAGATCCTTTGCTTCACTCTCAGTAACTGCTATATCTCTCAGTCTTTCCAGTGACCGATCAACAAACTGATCCTTGATTAAATCATCATGAGTTAGAAATTTAACGTCAGTAGTGTCCTGACTAGGTTGATGACGCGGGGGAGTTGGTGTTAATGATCCGGGGCGCAGAGCATCACTAAACAACATATTCAAGCCCAAATCATTGTCATCCACTAACTCAACAGGACACAGGGATGGTTGTTGAATCTTTGGCATAGCTCTAGTAATTGCGCCGAGAGGAAATAAAATAGGTTTCTCTCTACAAGCTTCAATGGCATAATTATCATCAGTGTTATTATTGATCACAAGTGGTTCTTTACATATACTAGCATGAAGGATATCGTTCCCTATCAACAAGTCCACCGACCTGATGGGAAATACACCACTGGATATACCAACTGAAATATAACCAGTATAATAGCTTGTTTCAATGTAAACTTTGTGCAGAGGTACTTTTATAACAGCCCCTCCATAGGCTTCTAACAATACATCTATCTTGCAATAGGTACCATCAGTTATGGGCAGTACATCTTCAATAATAACGTGAGATAACTGCCAGTGTCTCTGAAAGTAATCATCTCAGATGTGATTCGTCAAATCCTACTTTACCTCTCAAAAAGTAAGGACTCATCGCTGAACGAATCTTTTCGTCAGATACACTTTCTGACGCTAGTCATCTGTTCTGAGTAATATTATCTAAAACAGAAGGATCAGAGGTATTACTAGGATTTTGGTGCCTTTGTTGCACGGAAGAGGATACGGCTTAGGTGGGGGCGCCAGCCACACGACTGTCTCTCGTATCTCTAACTTATAGCAATATTCTCTAGCAAGTCCTTTTCTGTTACAATATGTACATTTAACTTTCTTCTTCTCGATATCAGATTTCTGTCTAGCCACAGAGACAGATTCAGGGTTGTGTTTTCCTGGTAAAGGTACGAGAAGTTACAGTAGCAGGTACAACAGGCCGGCAATGAGCAGCTGATTTAGGTTGCCAACGTCTAGGACAATCTTTAGTTACCTTGTTTCTTTGCGTTTTAGTATGTACAAGTTTGTGAGAAATCTTGTAATTGTCTGCTAATGCTGCAGTTTCCAGAATATCCGAGGTAGTACGATCGATCAGATATTCTTGGATGTCAGCAGACATACAGTTGTTAAACTCTTCATGAAGTAACAACTGAACAAGGCTGTCGTAGTTGTTACCTTTCGCAGATCTACACCATCTCTCCTATGCAACTTTTTTCTCACGAGCAAACTCTACACAAGTTTGATCTTGTCGTCGTTGTAACGTACGAAATGCACGTTGATAACTTACAGGTAACAAGTTATATGTCTCTAGAATAGTTTGCTTGACAGCGTCATAACTAATGTACTTGGCAAATGGTAAAGCAGCAGTACAAGTTTGAGCTCTTCCTGTCAAAGCTGTGTGCAACAAGGTAGCCCAGTGCTTACGTGGCCAGTTCATAGCACGTGCCTGGTTCTCAAACACATCAAAATAGGTGTCTAAGTCACTCTCAAAAAACTTAGGAACCATTGATGCAGCTTTCTGCACATTAAACGAGTCCTGTGATCTATCAGTCTGTTGTCTTCCAAGACGAATATTTTCTCTCTGGAAATCTTCTTCGTTCAATTTCCTCTGTGCCTCTATTTGTGCAGTCTGCAACATAATGAGGCGTTCAAACCTCTCAAACTGTTCCTGAGAGATAGGACCAGTGGATAATGGAGAAGTAGGGAAATTAACGCGTCTTTCTGGATGGTCCTTAGGTCGGGCACCTCGTCCAACCGTCCCTAGAGTGTCTAATTCTGGTCTAGGATAAGTAGATACAGGTGTAGCATACATGGTACTAGTATGAGGCTGAGTCATACTACCAGCTACACTCTGTACTATTGTGTTAGTTAGGCGAGAAGGCGTGAGCGAGAACTGAGCTACACTAGGCTCAGACACTTCTGCCGTAGTTGCTCTTTCTTCTACGTCATCAAAAAGATTCATACTTTCTAATTGTGATTCTAGGCTTTCTGTATCTGAATCATAATCAGACATCTCTGTATGAGCAGGAAACAATATATCTTTAATTAACGCTCTGACAGTTTCTGTGGTGTAATTCCTGTTATACGTCATACCGAGATATTAGGCTACTCGCCAACACGTCTGAAGTTTTAATGTACTTAACTCAGACAAAGTTCAGAGTATCAATTAACTGTTTCACTTTGACACACATCACGAAAATAAGTGTACTACGAGAGAGTGATTATGGGAAACTATAATCCTAATAGGAATTTTAGTGTTGGTGGACTCAGAGCTAGAGCTCAAACAGTATTTCCATCTCCTTGGATCAAGAGACTCAGTCAAGTACATACATCCACCTAGTATGTTGTACAAGACTAAACTCAAAGTCTTCAGATTAGGAAAATACTCAAAGTGCTTGACCATAGTTACTAGTATGTCAAACTGGACAATTTCTCCAACACCTTGGATCAAGAACATCCCGGACAGGCCCCCATTTGTTACAAAAAACGCGATTCTAAAAAGCTTAGAGATCTCCAGTGAATACTAGAAAGAACTGTC